TTTTTTTTTTTTTTATAATTATGTTTTATACTTCTTTTACTTCTAAAATATCTGAAAATTATGACTTAAATTTTTCAAAAATAAAAAAAATAACCTTTTCAGTTGACACTTAAACTAGATATCACGTTTGTTACTTTTCATTTTGAAAGATAGTTGTCGTTTGCCACAGAACGACAGAATGGCGTATGCATTAATTTACTTTATTTTATTTACTGCATATCTTATCAAAATGGAAAATTTACCAAATAAATTATGATTTTTCATTGCAACTATTTCAGTGACTTATCGGTTGAAACGCATGCAATCGAATTTGTTTTTGCATGTCTTAATCAAAATGAAAAGGTAAAGAAAATGACTTTTTAAACAATTAATAATAAAGTTGTACAGCATTACATTTTGCAAATTCGACTAACTCAACACCCGTAACAAAATAAAAATAAAAATAAAAAACTACAACGAATTCAAGAAAATACTATTCAATGATATTATTGAACAAGAATAAACAATTCAATGATGTAATTGAACACCAAACCAGAAAATATCAAAGTAACTTCTTTTCCGGAAACCCTTCATAAGCCACTTTCTTTGTGCAGCTCTTTGGGACGTGAATGCTATGAAAATTCGGCTCCTTTGGAATGGTTGTAGGCCTTCTTCCCCTTGACACTGATCTGGGTGCTGCAGAAGCGCCATTTTCGCACGGTTTCTCGACTTCCTTGTGCCTGAGGATAATCGTTGATCTTTCCTTCATTACACCAAGTCTAGCTGTTTTTCTACTTGATGCAATCCTAAAAGATAGGAATTGTCTCTAAGTTTCAAGTGATCTACATCTTTTATATCATTTAAAAAAGAATGTTAAGACAAAATAATTGTTTTCCACTTACCCTTGAGACCTCACAAAACTTTTCTGAATGATAGGTGATTCAGTCCTTTCTGAACTTTTCTCTGAAACAGAAGAAACAGGACATCTCCTTGAATGTAAAGAAGGCAAAGATTTCTGTTCCGAAATCGCTTTCCAAGTCCTCGAGCAATTCTTGGCTCTTCCCTGCAAATAATCACAAAGAAAGTTTTAGCCACATCACTATGAACCTACCCCTACTGTAATGTGTTGTTGACTTACAGGTTTATCTACTCCTCCATTCTCTTCATGAATGCCATTCTCATTCTCACTTTCACCTTGGCAGTTCTCATTTTTCTGATCAGAAAAAAAGTAAAACGGTTTAGATTTTTCTGTTTATCCAGAGTGAAAACAGCGCATATATATATATATATATATGTATATATATAACCCTCTACCTGGCCCAAATTTGGATGTTTTCTCAATGACTTCTCTGATGGCTTTGCTGATGAAATTTCCTTGAGAGGTGGGTGCAGTTTTTTCTCCAGATTTGTTTCCTTAAGAATACCTCTTTCCTGAAATGATCAAAGCATGTTAGGCCCAACCATTGGAACTAATGTTAAAGAAATTGATCAGAAATGAGGAAAGGTGTCAGCGTACATCAGTTCTAAACCTAAAAGGCTTGGGATTTGTGGGCTTTGGTTTCCTATACTTTGCCTCTTGTGCAACTGTAGCAGCCACAGAACTCTTCTTCAATGTCCTTTTTATTCCTTGATTGTCCTGCATTGTTAAAGTACAATTAGTCAGAAACAATGATGAAGTTGTTAAAACAATAACTAGCAATAAAAACATAAATGAGCTGAAATGGAACTTAAAAGTCACCTTCTTTGTATCACAATTGCCAACAATTCCCCCCTTGGAAGGACCGTGAGGTTCTCTGCCAAAATTTGGCAAAAAAATTGGTCGCTAGTTAGGTGGAATGCGAGAAAAGCAAATTCCAAAAGATAAAAGAGGTAAAGGAGGTTCACACCTGTTACCATCTGAAGCTGAAGCATTTTCTTTTTCGTCACTCTCATTTTCACCATCATTTTCTTTGTCATCAGAGGGAAAAGAATTTTCTTTATCATCATTGTCTACATCATGAGAGCTGTTCTCATCACTCGAATTTGTTTTCTCTGTGTGATCAGTTGTGTCGCGAGTCATCACTTGATCACTGTCACCTAAAGCCCTCTCTTCGGAACTCGGCAAGATGGACATTTCCCCACTTGAGGTCTCCGATGATGCTTCAACTTGGTGCTCATCGCATCGTGGTTCTAAGGTGGTTTTCACTGACTTCAAACACTCTTCCTTTGCATTTATTTCCGCATCCTTAGACCTGTCCGATTGAGAACATCCTTCCAATGAACCACCCCTTGATCTCTTCAAATCAATCTCCATATCACTTGAACCATTTTTATTTTCATCTTCATCACAGTTCTGTTTTAGCTCTAAGTCCTTTTCCTTTTTCTTTCTCTTTACATTTTTCAAGACTTTTACTTCCTGACCCTTGTGATTGCGAGAGTTCGACGAGTCATATACCCGGCTTTTAACCTCTCGTCCTCTAAATTGTTTCCTTGAGGTTGTGCCAAGAGGCAATCCCACCTGTTTCTTTACACTGGCGATGTCATGCTTCGACATGGCTGTACACAATTTCCCCACCGGAGTTTTTGTTTCTAATGGCTGTTTCTTTGCACTGGTGATCTCGAGCTTTGACATGGCTGCGCATAATTTCCCAACAGGAGTTTTCAATTCTACTGAAGTCTTTATCCTGCCAGTCCTCTTTGGAGAGTGAAAAACCAGGGCTTTTGCTATAACCCTTGCCTTTGGCACCGCTATACTTGTTGCTTTAGGATTCTGAACACTTCTAAATTTGTCTGGATTTGATATTCGTTTTCTATTCCTTGGAGTTGTAAACGCCTTGGCTGCAGAACTTGATCGCTTCAAATTGGCTTTCGGGGTTGCATTGAGCTTTGAGAGAGGCCTGGATTCATGTTTTTCATCAACCAACTTTCGAGAAATCGAAGAAATAATGGCAAGTCTTGGTATTCTAGACTTTGAAGGCTTTGCAGGAGCTGTAAGTGGGCATTTCGGACTAGAACTGGCAAAATCAAAAATGAAATGTCAACACTGAAAGCCTTGAATAAGAAGAATTCTTTGGTAGTGAACGAAAAGAAAATGTTTTTCTGAAGCATCATATTTTTACGTAAGTCCGTTAAACTGATACGACGGTTTAAAGCAGAGACGATTGAAACTTAGTCATCGCAAGTTATGAGTAAGTACCTCGGCGGTTTTCGACTTAGTGCTTTCCGAAACCGTATGTTAGGGCTTCTTGCAGCCATAACCTGTGAAATTCAACAACACAATGTTTAAACATTAAACAAGTAATTTACCCATAAAACCAACATAAACCAAAAAGGGAAACTGAGAACTAACCCGAAGAACAAAACTTTTTTCTATTTCCTCAGGATCCAGTTCTTCTTCATGTTTCTGGTCGCATCCTACGAGAACAAATTTAAAAAAAAAAAAAAATTTAAGGGAACTGGGTTGAGTCTTACATAAGCAATTATCAGACGAACAGTTATCAGCTAGCAAATAAAAACCTAGTTCAGATGATCTCAAGAATAAACGAAGTTGCGTTAAGTTATAAAATTCGGAATTTATTTCCAGTGAAGCTCAATGCAGAGCATGCAAATTCTTAAAATTTGCTTTCCCTGTTACTTTCCCTCGTTTTTCTTGGCTACCAAGCAGAACTCAAAGTATAAACCCTAGACACCATAACAAACCCAAATCTAACCGTATCAAGCAAGAAAAACAACTTTTGAAGAAAAAAAAATCCAAAATCTTCAAGGCAGAGCTTCTAAGGACGTGGTCTAAAAACAGAAATGGTTAGAGAGAGAAGGAGACATGATTACGAACCGACGCGCAAGCAGAACCAGTAACGGTCATTGGGAGGGCAGCGATCGGACACGGTGAAGTCCACGAACTTGGGCGCCTCAATCTTCTCATAGAAGTCCTCGCCGTTGATCTGCGGCAACTGATCAGGTTGATCCTCCATTCCTAGAGAAAGAAAGAGAAAAGATGAGAGAGAAAGCTTGGTGTTGGAGAGAAGAAGAAAGACTACTCGGAGCGTCGCTTGGATGGGCTGGGAATGGTGGTGAAGGAATCCGAGGGGAAGAGGTTTAAATTTGGAGTTCTGTCTCTGTAAGTAGCCGTTGGGAAATGGTATTTCTTTTTGTTTCTGTTTTAAACAGCAACAACAAAAAAAAAAAAAAAGAAAAGAGAAAGGAAAAAGGGGGAAAAATATATATTCTTTTTGGACAAAACGGCATCTCCGGGGTGGGTTTGGTCATTTGACCTCAAATTCTTCGCGGCTTCTCGATTACCACAACAGTGTGGATCTTGTAACGGGAAGATCGGCTTCTGGTCCTACCTGGTTACCTGGACACCACGTGCGACAAAATTTTATGAAGCCCAAGCCCAGATTACTGATCTATAACAATTCTAACCCATTTTATTCAAGTTCCAAGCCCAGCTTTTCTCAACTGGAAAAGCCCAATCCTTAGTTAACTACGAAAGGAAATATCGAGAGAGGAGGATAGGAAAGATTTGAATCTGAATTTTTTTCTCTTTCTATTTAATTAATATCTTTCTTAGTAAAATAATTATATTAGACAAAAGAATATCAATCAAGAATAAAGAGTAAAAATTCAGACTCATATATTTTAAGAATAAGTTCAATAAATTTTCTCTATCGAAGAAATACCCCTATGAGGGAAGCATCTTTCTTAATTTATAATTATAATTTTTTTTATGTTTTTGACATTATCGATACTAAAATATTTAAAAGAGCATATATATTTTATCTTGATAGGGTTAAAATCCCGGTACTCACATATAGTAAATCCCACTAAGTAGGTAGGACACAACCTAATAGGACCCACCATTTTATGATCACAGAGTTTTATCCTCGTTGAGATAAATATATCATTTTTCTATTTAAAACCATAAAAGAAATATTTTAAAAATCATGTTAATGAAAATATACGGTGTAGTTTGGTTAATTGTAATTTTCATAATCGAACCGCATTGCAGGATTAAACACTAATTAGACACCAGATCAGATCAAGACGTAAAAAATAATAATAAATAAATAAATAAAAGGCCGCACGGTGGTGCGATTTAAATGGTTATTTCGGTTACCCTTGAGAGCCACGAAACTGTCAGAAGAACTCGAGAGTACCACTTTTAAAAGAGTGTAAAGCTATTCTGATAAATTGACCATACAATTTTAAGTTCATATTAACCAATCCGTACATGTAATTACTGAAAAATGTAGCCTGCTTATACGTAGAAATTAATCTCATGTTATTGAACTTATGTGTATATATATGATTTAGTAAGATTAGCACACTGTGGTTGCAGACCGCCACCCATAACGACAAATGAAGAGCTACAAAACTCAAAACAGTTTTTTTTTTTTCTCCCAAAAATAAAATGTTATAAAAGTAGAAAGTGGTATATCTGATAATTCGAACAAATAAAGCATTTTCGTGTGCAATATGAATAATTTACCAAGTAGATTGTTCGTACACTCTGGTTATGGTACATAAAATTAGCATGTCTTTTTTTGACAATTCACGTGCTATGCTTGTTCAGTCATTTCAACTCCCTAATTATTTTTTCAGAAAAAAAAACTCTAATTATTGTTTTTTATGATAATTCTCGGTCACGTTAAAGGATACGGAATATGTCAAAAACGTTTAATTTGATCAAATAATATACAACATTATTTGATGAATAATTGTCCACTTATAGACCAGTTTTGGATGAAAATGTGGAATTTGTATGCTGTACCAAGCGCCAAAACTACAGCAATTACATTGTTGTTATCGTCCAAATTGTTTAATATACGTACACCTTTTCAAGAAACTACTTTTTTAATGGTGAAAAGTACAGCCACTTTTTCTATTGTTATATATTCCTGAAAATTGAAGGATTTATTCTCATTTATTTCGCTGATTTGAGTTTAAAATTCGAGTTGAGATGTGATTTTATGTGAGAATTTTTTACTGTAGCAAAAAAGTTAGATGTGATTGTTTGTGAGAGCCTTTTACTGTAGAAAAACTCAAATTCTAAACTCGAATCAGCGAAGTGAACGGATTCCTGCCACAAAATCGTGAATTCTTAAGAGTTCAACTACTTTTTTTTTTCTTTTTTTCTTTTTTTTAATGGCTTTTACCGCAAATGGTCCCCAGTAATTAAGAATAACTTGATTCTCAAACTTTTAATAATTTGACAAAAATGATCGCTGAACTCTTAAATTATTGATAAAGGACCAAATTGAAAGGCACGTGCATTGTAAATCCAAATCCCTGCCTATTCTTTCAAAATATGTCTAGGAAAGAGTAGTTGTTGTAAAAGAAATAATTGTGCACCAAACATCAGATTGTCGTGTAAAATTTGGAAAGATTTGAGAAGTGGGAGATAAGCTCTACCGTAAGCCTGGATCAATCGAATTGCCCTTGCGCCTCTGCTTTCTCAGTCTCTTTGTCGTGCGAACCCAACCTCGTCACCAATAGCCTCCGCAATGCGAGCACAACCCTTGTCATGAGCCCCGTGTCACCGGTAGCCTCCCCCGAGGGACCTATTTTGTTTATTATTATTACTACTACTACTATCTAGTATATCATTGTTGCTGTTGTTGTGAGAAATGGAAAAGTTTTGTTGAATTTATGTAGCTTATCATCTTTTTACCGCATTGTATTTTGCTCATATAAGTAGGGATGTCAAGAAGGACTAATGTGGCTCATGGTCTAGCAAGATTATTTCTCCGTATAAATAAACTCATTTCATTATATATATTAAAATCCACCTCCAAGTGAACGTACACACACACACACATTGTATTGAGTTTCCCTTTGATTAATAATAAACCTCACTTTTCGAATAAAAAAAAAGCCTTTCACACACACATATATATATATTTCACACATATATATATATATATTTTTTTTACTATGTGGTTTAGCGTAACTAAAATGCTAGTACAACGATGGCACGTGCCTTGCACAAGAGCAGTACCGGGCATGCATGCATGATCACGGTAAGAGAAATTGACCTTTTCAAAGAATGGATGACCACATCTTTGGCCTTTACCTATCAATTGAAAGTAATCACTAGTGTTTGGTAGGGTAGAAAAGAGAGCGGAAAGAAAATAGATGAGGGATTTTGTAGAGGAAAATGAAATTTTAACTTGTTTAGTAGAGAAAAAATGAGGAAGGAAAGAAAATAAAAATTCACGAGACCTACCAATTTTTAATCCTTCTAAATTTGGGAAGAAAAGATGAGAGAAAAAATTTGACAAAAAAATGAGATGTAAAATAACGATTTTAAATTTCACTATTTATCATATTTTTATTTGTATTGGAGTATTACTGTAAAATGCCTTAAATTTAACATTTTTTTTCCTTTTTTTTCTCTTCTTATAACAAACAACGTGAGAGAAAACTATTTTACTTCTTTCACCTAAGTATTTTACTTCTCTTTTCTTTCTCTTTTTTATCCATCCTACCAAACATGGCATAAAAGTATTAGAGCGACCTCCAAAAAGAAAGAGCATATTTAGGACGAGGGTAATTGGAATAATCACCTCAACCATTCATTTTAATTTTATTAAAAGAAATAGTAGAAAATAGGCCAATATGAAAAGCTTAAGAAATATAGGCTAATTTTTAGTTATAGAAATTAATAGGTCATAACTTGTCAAGTTATGGTTTATAACCAGATAAGTTATGAACAAACTTATCAAGTTATGGTTCATAGCCAGACAAATTATGGACAATAACTTATCAAGTTATAGTTTATAACAAGACAAGTTATAGACAAAAACAGTAATTTGGCCTATTTATTAACTTATGTAAACTATTAGCCTATTAATTTTAATTCATCTCAAATCTTAGCCTATTTCCCTCTTTCTCCCTTTTATTAATTTGGGTGATATCCGTACACAAATATTGTAAGTTTTAGATGAACTGTACATATAATTAGCAAAACTAACATTAATGCAATAATACTTCGATAAAGCCCTTTTCAACCCAAAAAAAAAAAAAAAAAAATTTAACAAGGTAGAGACTTTTGTTTTGATAATTGTGTATACAGATTTAATTATGAAAAAAAAAATTGTGTATAAACAGATTAGGATAGAATTTGACCGGTCTAATTCAAACGGAAAATGAGACACCAAAGTTCAAATCCACCTAAATATATCATTTTATAGATAATTATAAATTAGAGAGAAAACTCAATTTTGATATTCAATATCTCAATAATCAAAGACAAAAGTAGATGGTTTGTTATGATTTTGAGTATGTCTATTACGTCATTCAAAATAATTATGTGTTATCGTGACTTTTTATTTTTTTAATTTTATTAATTGAATGAAAATTATTTATTTGTTTGGTGGAGTTAAATAATATTTTTTTTTATATTTTTGAGTGGTATATCTGGTTTTTGCCATAATCATATCTTTCTAGTATAATAGCTAATGTTATTATTGTTGGGGACAACACACATTTATATCTGTGTAGCAGAAAAATAAACTGAAACAAAAATAACAAAAAAATAGAGAAGACAAAGATTTAAATGGTTTGAAAAAATTTTCTACGTCCACAAGAGAGGGAGAAAAATTCACTAACAATTTTAGAATTACACACTCAACAAACTTTCTCACTTTCTTTATCTACTCAAAACCCTTTACAACATTTGTCTATCTCTCTCCTCACTTTTCTCTGATCTTTCTCTCAAAAGTAGGCACTCTTTCTCTGACATGTTTCTCTGAACACCCATAAATCCTTACACAAAACACTTATTTATAGACTCCTAATAACCTATGCCCAAAAATAGAAAATAGTAACTTACTCAAAAACACAAAGTTGTTACTTTCTCAAAATTAATTTGAGTCACTTAACTAACAATCTTCATCTTGACTCAAATTCTCTCAACTCACTTAATTAGGTATTCAATCTCGACACCCGTCATCGCACCGACGATGCAAACTTCAACAAAATAAACATGTATGAAGTTCAAACTCTTATCAAACTTAACACGAGAAACTGTCTTCTTCTTCTTCAAATCATCTTAACTGCTACAAGTCTTCACTATATTATCTTTATCATCTTCAACTGTTATCATCTTGTTGCACTTTTTTACTCCTAC